TGCCTTCTTTCCTATATTCATATTCCATTCATATGTTTGCTAAGAACTTTCCTTTTCTTTCCTCTCTCTGCCTACTTACAGCTCACCTACCCTTATAAGTCACTTTTTTTTTATTTGAAGTATATTTGATTTACAATGTTGTGAAAGTCACTTTTAATATCACTTTCTCAGTGACACCTCCCTTTAGGCAAAATTAACTGCTCCATTCTTCAATGATCACTACTGTTAATACCACAAATATACTACTTATCAAACTGAACTGTGATTAGCTGGCTATAGTCCTCTGTTTTACCCACTAGATCTTTGGTGCTTTGAGGTTCTGACCCCACGAAGTCATCTTGTGTCTCCTCGGAGGATGAAGTCAGCCTTACCTCCCAATAAATAAAATCTTACTGGAGAGCGTATGCTTTTTAGAAGGGTAGAACTTTCCCAGAAAACTAAGTACCTATCTCATTTCCCCATGACAGATTTCAGGTAACCACAAAGGAATGTGGGAGTCCCCCAGGCCTTTGCTCACTTCCTTAAAAAAAGGATTATACCCAGACAGGCTCAGAGCCCTAGAATACAACTTCAACCCTTTTCCACACAAACCTGTGCTATGTTTTGCCTTTAGCTATACGTACTATCAGTCTTTACCATTTTATGATCTAGTTTTGTTATTCCTTAAAATATTCTTATACCAGAAGGGTCAGAAATCTGAATTTCAGTGAACAGAAAGTGAGTAATCTGCTTAAAAAAAGGAAGGAAGATGACAGATATAGCTCTCAGTAAAGTCAGAAAGTCAGAAGGAAAGCTAACCAGCAAATGAAGAGAAAAAACACTTCCACTATAAATTACTGCAAGTGGAGATTACAAAAACCAAAAATATGTCTCCTGGTATTGATCATAAATCCTTTTAGCAGTGAGTCAACAAACTGATTTTAAAGTACTTGTTGATTAGACAGTGCTTCCCCCATGTGGTTCTTTTACTGTGTTTTCCCAAACATTGAGTCTTCAGATTGGATCAAAGTGATTCACAGTTGAAGCCAAATAACAAGACATTTCCCAAATAGCACCTAATGATAGTGTTCTCAATTTTGTTTTCTTCTCAGCTTGTCTAAACTGAACTATACCTGATTTATACACATTTATATCTTTTGTATTTCTTGACATAGGACAGTTACAAAACTTTCACTAAATTAACAAGTGAGTGTCATGTTTTGGTTTTCATAACTGCATGAGATTTTTTTCATTAGCAGCTGAATTAGCATGGCTCTCCTTTCTAACCAACATCAACTTTATCTTCCTTATATTGAGTTTTTAACTTCCAAGAGCTCTAAGGACATTCTTTAAATATATCACTCTCAAGAATATAATAACTACTCTTACCTTCCAAACATATTAAGAGTTGTTTTGTTTGTTTTTGCATTGTTGGTCCCTTCCAAATTGCTTTTATTCTTTTTTTGTTCTGATTTCTTATCTTTCACATCAGGTTTCCCTAAGCTGTTTGTTCATAGTTAAGAATGAGACATTAAAAAGTTGATCAGTGTGCAAGGTGGGGATTGCTGACAATGAGCTGAGACCTTTTCCAGGGGAACCATTTATATTGGTATTTTTAGAATATTTTTTTTTCTTGGCCAAGTCAAATTCCTCAAAGTGTTTTGCTCATGTAACCATCAAATAATTTTGAAATACATACCATGTATTCGTACATCTTTGGTAACATCTAAAATTTCCAACTTAAGTTTCAATGATTACAAAGGATGTAATTTCTAGCATTTTATCAATATTCACTTTTAAACAACTATTTATTTTTAAATAATTTTAGACTTACAGAAAAGTTGCAAAAATATATAGTTTCCACATACCCTTCACCCAGATTCCCCTATTAACATCTTACATAGCCAAAATAGTATTATCAAAGCCAAGAAATAAACATTGATAAAATATTATTGACTAAACTATAGACATTATTCAAATTTCATCAGTTTTTCTACTAACATCCTTTTTCTGTTTCAGAATCCAGTCCAGGATTCCATACTGCATTTAGTTTAATGTCTGCTTAAACTCTGGTCTTTGATAACTCATCCTCTTTCCTTGCCTTTCATGATCTTGACACTTTTGGAGATTACTGATGAGTTATTTTGTAAAGTAGCCTTCAATTTGACTTTGTCTAATGTTTTCTCATGATAAAATTGAGGTGATGCATTTTGGGCAAAAAGACCACAGAAATGATGTTACGCCCTTCTCAGGACACCAAAAATCAAGGTCTCTGATGTTGATATGTCCTATTCCTGGTGATGTTAAACATGATCTATTAGTTAACATGGTGTCTGCCAGGATTCTTTATGTACATTTACCATTTTTCCCTTTTCAGTTAACAAAAGAAAAACAAAAACTATTACATCGCTCTTCTTTTAAATGTATCAGATGGACCCTAAAAACTATTACTAGTTTGATTTGGTAACTGTCATCAACTGAACAAATTATTCCTTTACTACTGAACTAACCATTCCTTAACACTCAGAAAGTTTACATTGTTCCTTTTTACCCTTGAACTTCTATTATATTTAAAATACAGACTGTTATCCTGATGTAATATTTTTATACTTTATATGCTAATTATCTAATCATTCTCTGCAAAACAATCTGTATATAAATTTTAAAAATTTCTTATGATCATAAGATTCTAAGTACCAATCCAAAAGCAACTTTTGAGTTATCATTATACTTAATATTAGTATATGATGGATCAAAACACAAGTATATTACACATTTGAAAAACTTACTGAAAGTACATCTCTTAATGAAACTGATGGAGCTTACCTTGGTTTTTTTTTTCCAGTTTATGAGTCTATGAATAAATCTTGCTTACTACCAGAATCAGACAAGGTTCAGCATTAATCTTGTTCTTATTTTTTATTTTTAATGGATAAGTCTTTATTAACAGTAAAAGGGACCAGAAAATCTTGTTACAGTGATGTTACTCAATATTTTTATACATCAAGGCTATTTCTATGTTCCAACTAAAAACAGCCTGTTACTGATTTGTTAGATAATTTAAAAATCATAAATAAGTGATATCATTAAGGTTTTTATTCAACTATAAATGTATTTAATAAGGATTTTATCTTTTTGCTACTGGTACAGTTTTTTCCTGATATGTACATTAGGAATATTTCTATCACAAAGTGTTTCAGTATTTTTTGGACAGTTTTTCCAAAATATTTTATGCTTAGGTTTTCTTTGTATAAAAAGTACTTCCGGACTGAATTAGATGGCTATGACTCAAAGGCTAGCATAAGCACGTCTAATTCCATTGTTCTCTGGTAGATGAGAGCCAGAGCTGAGAGCGGGAAAGAACTGAAATAAATAGTAAGGATGTAAGGCAATTAGTAAAGCATGGGAGGTGCTGACAGTGGGAGACAAGTAGCATTTGGAAGCTCGAGCATACAAGACTGAGTTAACCACCAGAACAAGCAAAAATAGAAGCCAGGTCCCAGAGGAGAGGAGGAGCCCCAAGTACACATAAAACAAAGAGGAGCCCACTCCCGGAATCAAATACTAACTAGTAATACTGAAAGGGGAACGTTGCTATGCCCTTTACTCACTGTATGTCTTTCATCTACAGAAGCTCTAAATAAAAAAGTATAAACTCATATGGGCTCCGAACGTTGATGAGCTAGTTTCAGGTAGAAAGTCCACCTGGAGCCAGTGTGAGCAGCAAAAAGCCTCCAATTCCCATAGGAATTATCTTGTATAAAATAAAGCATCAGATATTTAAACCATAGTCTGGCCTCAAACTTATTAAAATATTTTTTAATTTTTTTAACATTTTTTAATTGAGTTATAGTTATTAAAACATTTTAAAACCAATAAAGTGATGCCTTTTATGCAATGCAGCACTATGCTTCCATTTAACAAACATTATTATTCTGCCTCTGTATGGTGGTATCTTTCCGGAGTTACATAAATTATTGGTTCTATTTCAAATTTATATAGGAATAAAACAGCATATTACAGGAGAATTAAAGTACCTACTAAACAGTAAACCCATTTAATACTATAGATCACAGGTTTTTTTTACTCTTGAGAAAAAGTGACCTTCCTTTTATTGACTCTATGTACTAATTCTCATCATAAATGTATCCTAATTATGTAATTAAGGTATCAGTCACAAATGTCCTTCAATATAGCAGTGAATCTGGTATGATCTTAGACTGGTTCTGACCAGAAGAGCTTCATTTGAAAGGTTTGAAATGTAAAAAAAGACTGAAGAATAATGTGAAAGGTCTTTTGGTCAAGGTACAGAACAAGGCTGACTTTGCTACATGGTGGTTGTAAGGCGGGGGGTATGCGTGTGCACGGAGTAAGCAGGTTTCCTCTTTCTGGCTCCAGTGGCTCCAGTGAGCTGAATGGACAGGAAAACTGGTAAAGGGAGATGCAGCTGCACTCGTCTTTTAGGAACAGGGTACAGTTGAGCTTCAGGATCAGAAATTCAAACTTTACAGGACTGACTATTTCAAAAAAGCTCTTTAGATTCTCTAAACATATTAAAGTACTTTGTTTTTCATGGTAATTAGCAAAGCTGCCTTTAATATGTCAGGCTGAGTCAGCTGCACTGAAAGAAAAAGGCGAGGCATTTGGTCCACAGGTAGACAGGAGATTTAAAAGAAGCCACTAACAGATAGCAGCAGGAATCAAAGTAAAACAAGGGCTTCTAAATAAAGGGAAAGACGTCGGAAGGAAAGCAGACAGACAAATCTGAGGCTCAACATACAATTCTCTTTCCACGTATGTGGAAAAATCTTCCCCTCTGTGAAAGGTTTATTTTAATTTTCTTTTCAAAAGACTTTCCTAACAATCCTCACTTATATAGAATCACAGTACTCCCAAGAAATACTGAGTAAAATCATCTCAATTTGTACTCTAGAGATTCATTTAAAAGGGACAGTGACACAGTTGGGGTCCAAAAAGTGGGTTTCCGTAATACATATTTTAAATAACTTTTAAAGACTCACCTGTAGGCTTAACTGAATAAAACCCAATGGCCTCTCCTTTCTTCCACAGAATCTTAGCATAATCAGTACTGCTATGACACAGGAATGGGATCTCATTCCTCTCCATTTCCTGCTTTCTATAAATAATTCGATTCAGAACATAGAGAACCACTCTCTCCCCGAGAGTTCTCACCTACAAAGAGAGTCAGACACCAGGCACAACAGTTACAATACGCAGCAATTCAGAGATGCAGTCTACCTTGCTCCCTGCTTCCATACCTCATACTGAAGTTCACAGCACTTTGAATACATTCAAAATGATTTGTAAACCATTTTATGATCACAAAATGAGACGAGTCATTCATACCAATAACAATTCATTTCTATAGACACAAGTTATGCATGGAATAATGCCTCTCAGCAAATTCTAAAACAGGCAAAACAGGCTTCCAATATACCAAGCCCCAGCATCTCCTCTTTAACACTCGGTGTTTTCTTTCTGCTTCCAGCTGCCCAGATCACAATCTCTAACTGCTGACCCCACCATCTCTAGTGCTTCAACTCTTTTTCACCCCATTCCAACCTAAACATTAAAAAAAAGAAAGGAAGGAAGGAAAGGGAGACCCTTTGTGTTATACCCTAAAGACTTTAATAACAATTATCTCATTTGATGAGCAAAGCCATAATTATGCTCTTGGGAAAGGAATCGGTCTCATCTTTTCCAGGTAAATGTTTATTTATCAATTATGTCTCTGCTGTCTAACTATAAGGAATTCCCGTCTACCCGCAACACACATACACACATAGCCCTCTGCCAGACCAGATGAGCAATGACAGTGGCACCAGGATGTCTGGTGACTTGAGGCAATCACAGAATGGAAACAGAGCCTCACTTCCTACATGCGGTCCTACAGAAGACCCCGTTACCAACTATCTGACATTGAACAGTGGGGTTTTCCGCATAGACACCTTTTACTGCTGAAAATAAGAGTCTACCCGTGAAATCTATTTTTCTCCCAAGTCTCCTTACAGAAAAACAAGAGTCTTCTTTAAGAAGGTAAAGGGAGAGAAAAAGCATACACAACTCCTCAAAAACCTCCCTGAGAGGGGATCTGTAATACCAAACACCGCATGAAATAAAAAAGCTCGCTAGCTTACAAGGCAGCCCATGCCTTCCTTGAATGGCTCTGACCAGGATAAAACTCCTCATACTGAGCTGAAATCTCATTCCCAAAGACTATACTTTGATATTCTGGAGCCACAGTCTACAGATATTTGAAGACAGACATGAGATTCCTCTAAATTTCATATCAAAGCTAAACACAGGAAAAGACTAATCCAAAACGATCTGGGGTGCTCCTGCCTTTCCAGTCCTCTCCCCTGAAATTACCCCAGAGCTGTAACATCTCTCTTCAGGCTGGGCACACAGATATTACAAATATAAGCACTGAAGAGACTGAAAGCTAATGGGGCTTTTCTGCGTAAATGTTAAGGTTTTTATTAGCTTTCTTGCTTACCTTGATTTTATTTCTAATTAACTAAGCCCAACCTTTTTCATGTGTGCTGCTGTTTTAGTTTGGTCTTCATGCTGTACACGTACAGCTAGTTTTTTGAACCCAAGGATCTGACTTCACCTAGTCACTTATTTTCATCGTGTTAGTTCTTTCTCTTTGCTTCCTAAATCTGCCTTTACAGATTAGTTCTCCCATTCAGCACTGTGGCACGCAGAACTGATAAGCACGCCACCTATGTCTTCCTCTAAGTAACTGATAAAATGGTGACTGGGACAGGACAAAGGACTGTTTCACAGCATGCTGTTGAGGACCTCTCTCCCATTCCACTGTCTGAAACGACTGAACAGACTACCCAAAATGGCCCTACTTATAAGCAAGTTTCCTGGTCTCTCCTAGAGATGGAGAACCGAAGCGACCACACAGAGAGAATGAGCTTTCTCCCACCCAAAAGGAAACTCAGCAACTGATGCTGATGTGAGTAACTACCCCTCAGCTAAACCACAGGTACTCATTCTCCGCGCCACCTCGCACCCCCATTCGCAGACACTTTTAGAACCACATAAAACTGAGGAAGCCCAAACTGAGTGCCAATTTCACAACAACAATGAAACTCTAAGGGCTAATATCACCTGCTAACACTGAAGTGGAGAAGAGCTCAATAACTTCAAAAACTATCACTGTTTGTGGGAAACATATCATGAAATAAAAGCCTCATAAGAAACACTTCTAAAATTACACGATCTTGTTACCTGCTTAAGCCCCTCTCTAGAAGGGACAGATGTTTTCACAATATCATCAATAGCCCACCACTGATCAGCAAGGTAAAGGGCCACAGCTAAAAGAGAATACATGATTATTAACAGTTAAGTCTTAAAGTAAACAATATTACCATTTGGTAAGGTTTATACAGATACGCTTAAATATACCTATACTTTACAATACAATGTGGCCCCATTTATACCATTTTTATTTTATTTTACTCACTAAACATTTAATTATAAGCAAATGAGCATTATATTTTCCTAAATTTACAGTTTGAAGAAGTTTTTTTTTAATTCCTTCATGTACCTATTTGTAACAAATTTCTAATTGTTTGAAGAAAAATCCATCAGTGTATAAAGATTAAGCAAAATAGAGACCTGTGAGTGAGTCCTCAGGAGCAAAAAGAGCAAGAATTTTCTGGGTCTGATCTCCACCATAAAGAGGTACAAAGCCTACATTTGACAGGCTAATAGGAATCTGCAATGACAATTGATTAAAGATTAGTGAAGAGTCAGTAAAGAAAATATCAGACAAAAACACCACACTTCTACCAAAATTTTTAACATACATTAACTCTAAATAATTTCATTTCATAGGCGATATTTGCAGTCTCAAAAAAAAAAGAGTAATTTAGATAGACTTCATTTCTGCAGGAATTTTATTATCTTGCAAAAAAAAAAAAGAAAGTCTATTTCAATAAATACTCCTGTACTCTAGCTATGCATCTGAATAGCAACAAAAGCATGATATGATCACTAACATTGTTAAACAACTTTATTATCTGTTATTTAGACTACTTGAGGAGGAAAAATTCCATTTTCTAGTAAAAGATACCAGGACAAATTCATTTTTCCAGTGAGATATATGCAATAGTTTAAAATTTTTCTGCCTTCATTAATCTGACACTAATTCCCTATTTACACACAATATTACAATTCAGGGAATTGTAAAATATTGATGCTGGGAGAAACTTTGAAGAATCCTTTAAAATAAATATCATTTTCCAGAAGAAAACTCCAGAAGAAAAGGCATAGAGAGGTTAGAGAATTTGTCTATCATCAAATTCACACTAGAATTCTAATAATTTCAAGTCTAAGGATCTTTCTATCAAATACATCTCAGCTTACTAATTACAGCTTATTTTAATACTTTGGGGAAAGGAAGATTTGTGATTAAAAAAATGTGTAATTTACTGTTTTGCTTAATTTTTTAATTAAAAAATTTCTAAAACTACAAATTCCAAATCTAAAGGAAACGAGTTAGCTTAAATATGGTAACCAGTCTTAGCAAAACTGGTAAACTACTTAGATATAATTTTAAAGGCACAACACAAATAATAAGCAATAGCCTATAGTTTGTCTTTTTAAAACTTGGTCATGCTTTTTTACCAACTAATCAATATTTATCCTCTCTACTGAAGTCTTCTGATAAAAATTTCGGAAGTGATTAGCTAACACTTTAAAATGATAATAAAATTATATTGATTTCATGTATAAACTCAATTGAAAAGATTGATAAAAATCACTGCAGGACACCTTACCGTAATATTGAGAAGAGAAAAACACTCAGGATTTTCAGGGTCTCCACACCTTAGATCTGACATGTAATCTTCAGCAGAATTTTCCAATTCCTCGTGACTGCAATTATCCAGCATATCCACAGGGAATGCCATCCTCTTTAACAAACAACAGGGGACAAAATGTTTCAGAATATGAAATGCTATCTTCTTTAACTCACAGAAAAAACTTTTTATTGTACTAGTGCAGCATTTTATTGTAAGGAGACTTCTTTTTTACTATGCCAAGGTAGACTACAACTTGAGCCTGCTGATTTAAATGTATGTCAAAAAGAAAACTTTAAAGCACTCATATGTATTAAAAACCAGCAATGAAATAAGAATTAATGCCCACACACATATGGTCAATTAATATGACAAAGGAGGCAAGAATATACAATGGAGAAAAGACAGTCTCTTCAATAAGTGGTGCTGGGAAAACTAGGCAGCTACATGTAGAAGAATGAAATTAGAACATTTTCTCATGCCACTTACAAAAATAAACTCCAGATGGATTAAAGACCTAAATGTAAGAACTAAAACCATAAAACTCCTGGAAGAAAACATATGCAGAAAACTCTTTGACATAAATAGAAGCAGTATTTTTTGGATCTGTCTCCTAAGACAAAGGAAACAAAAGCAAAAGTAAACAAGTGGGACCTAATTAAATTGAAAGGCTTTTGCCCAGCAAAGGAAACCATCAACAAAATGAAGGGACAACCTACTAGGAGGAAAATATTTGCAAATGATATGACCAATAAAGGGTTAATATGCAAACTACATAAACAGCTCATACAACTCAGTAAAAAGAAAAAAAAATTAAAATATGGGCAGAAGACCCAAATAGACATTTTTCCAAAGAAGACACACAGATGGCCAACAGGCACATAAAAAGATGCTCAACACAGCTAATCATCAGAGAAATCCAAGTCAAAATCACGAGATATCGCCCCAACACCCGTCAGAATGTCTATAATTAAAAAAGACCACAAATAACAAATGTTAGAGAGGATGTGGCGAAAAGGGAACCCTAGTACACTGTTGGAGGAAATGTAAATTTGTGCAGCCACTATGGAAAATAGTATGGATGTTCCTCAAAAAACTGAAAATAGAACTACCATATGACCCAGCAATTCCACTGCTGGGTATATATCTGAAGAAAAACAAAAACACTAATTTAAAAAGATACATTCACTCCAATGTTCATAGCAACATTATTTACAACAGCTAAGATACGGAAGCAATCCAAGTGTCCATCAACAGATGAAAGGATGAAGAAGACATGGTATTCAGGGGAATACTACTCAGCTATAAAAAATAATTTTTTTCTTTTAAAGAATAAAAGAAAAAGAACAACTTGGATGGACCTAGATGGTATGATGCTTAGTGAAGTAAGTTAGAGAAAGACAAATATTGTATGTTATTACTTGTATGTGACATCTAAAAAATAAAACAAATGAATGTAACAAACCAGAAAGAGACTCACCAATACAGAGAACAAACTGGTGGTTACCAGTGGGGGAAGAAAAGGGGACGGGGCAAGATAGGGGTAGGGGACTAAGAAGTACAAACTACTACATATAAAATAAGCTACAAGGATATATTGTGCAGCACAGAGAAATACAATCATTATTTTATAATTTTAAATGGAGTATAATCTATAAAAATATTGAATCACTATATTGTACACCTGAAACTAATACTATAAATCCACTATACTTCAATTTTAAAAAACAGATAATTCCTTGATAAATATTTATACAGGTATAGGATATATACATACACATATAAACACACAAACATATCCTCATATACCTGTCAACATAAAAGTCACTATAAAACAACACAAGGGAAATTTTTAGAAGAACAGAAATGTTCTACAACTAGATTGTGGTGATGGTTGCATTACCCTATAAATTTACTAAAAAAAAATCACTGAACTGTACAGTTGCAATGGGTAAAAATTACAGTATGTAAGCTCTACCTCTCATGTGTACAGCTGCTTAAAAAAAGCCAGCACCTTAGAAGTGAAACACTAAAGACTGTTTCACTAAAGTCAAGAAAAATAAGGACTTCACTAATATGTAACATTACAGATACTTTTCAGTGCAATTAGATAAGAGAAAACCCCTTGAGGCATAACAACTGGGGATGGGTGCAAGGGCTGGTGGGAGGGGAAGACTATCTCTACTTCAATTTGCAAACAATATATTTAATTGAAAAACCCAAAAGAATCAATGGAAACACTATTCCAAACAATAAGAAAATGTTGTAAAATGGCAGACTGTAAGACTATATACACAAATCAAGCCCTCACATATCTAACAATAACCAGTAAGAAGAAATAATAAATAGAAAAGATGACCCCGTTTACAACGGCAAAAACACAGACTTAAATTTTAACAACAATAAACAAAAACCCACATAAGGAAAACTATAAAATAGCATGTCTGAAAGAAGCAAAGTGAATAACAGGGAAGAAAAACCACGTTCTTGAAAAGAAAGATTCGGCATCATAAAGGTAGCATTTCCCCCTAAAACAACCTATTAATTTAATGTAATCCTAATGAAAATATCTTTAGGGTTATTTTTCCTGAAGCACAAGTTGATTATAAAGTTAATTTGGAAAAACTACTAGAAAAATCCTAAAAAGGCACAGCAATGACTGGAGAAAGGTTCTAGCCCTCTAAGGTATGAGAACATGTTATAAAACTTCTATGATACAGGCATTATAAAGCTTCTCTGTGATACAGACATACAAATACACCAATGGAACAAGATACAGAAGTATACCCTAATGCCTATGGAAACTGATACATGATTAAGGAGCTGTCTCAAATAGTGGGAGAAAGAGGACTTTTTAATAGGTACTATTGTTCCACTGGTCTGTCTTACAAAATGTTTAAATGAGAAATTAATTTTGCCCATTTCTGAACTTTCTATATATGAAATCAGACAGTATGCCCTCTATAGGTCAATTCCTTTCACTCAACATCACTTCTGTGAGAAACCTAAGTGGTGCTGCATCTATCATTTAATTTGTCCTTTTATTGCTAGGAGTATTCCATCATACACATACACACGTTAGCATTCTACTGCTGGTGGGCATCTGGGCTGCCAGGAGCATTGCTGCACAAATATTTCAGTAGGTAAACACACTTATCTGTGATGGGTCTGCATACTCACACTTATCAGTCTTACTAAAAGCAAGACAACCAAATACTATATGTATCTAGATGTAATGCAACATGACAATTGGAGCCAAATCTAATGAAGTCATTAGACAAATATGTGAAATGACGTTTAAAGTATGCAGCCAGCCAAATTTAGAATAACTCGGTTTCTTCAATTAATACATGGCACAGAGTTTGAAGAGTGGAAACCAATGTAAATTAAAAGAAACTTAAGAGACATCAATCAGATGCATTGTGAAGATGACCCTGATTTGTGTACTCTTGAAAATACCCCTCATAAAAAGGTAAGTAAAAAATAAACTTATGATCTATGTCAAATACTGATCTATTAGTTCTTAAAAGAGGTATAAATAAAGTTAGTATATATTATCTTGTATTTATGCAACATAAAAAGTGCAGAGACCCACTGCTATCTATACCTGTCAATAACTTCAATTTTAATTTTTAAAAAAATTTATAAAGGGAAAGGGAGAAGAAAATAAACTGAGAATATGAAAGTTACTTTCTCTAAAGTGACATTCAAAGCTATTTTATCACAACAAAAGTATTAGTAGACAAGGAACTGAAAATCTAAGGGAAATATGAGATAAACACATAAAAGACAAGACTCATACATGACTCTAAAAAGTGTATTACGTATTTTTCTAAATTTTGAAGATATGGTCATGAGAGGAACTTATTTTTTTTACCATAATCTGAAATCTTGGTCCTAAGGACTTTAAAACTTGACATACATGTTTGGGGACCTAATTTGTATATGTAAATTTACATACACACAAATATATATATTTATATATATGCATTTTTTAGTCAAATTGATTTATTTTAAAAAAATCAAAACCTAGAAATAGAACACATAAATTCAGTCCATCTGTTAGTAAATATAAATGTCTAAATAAAAGGAGAGAGCAAGAAAAAATTTTGAGACTATTTATGAAAGCAGTATCACAAGATTTCCAGCCAACTTACAAAAAGGAGGGGAAAAGCTGGATTTCAAGAGAGATTAACCAGGATTTAGCTTATCTAAATAAGATGTTATAGTTAGAAAGGGACCATAAAATAAAACAGCAGCTCTACATTGAAGGAAGCTTATTTGTTAGTCTGGCAAATCTTTGTGTCTCTATCAAAGTCAATATGCAACAGAAAACTAAGTAAAAACAACATTACGTTCCGTGGTCAAATCTAATAATTGCAACAAAGATTAAAATTTAGACAAAACTAAAAACACAAAACAAATGGTCAATAGTGGATGAAAGAAGCACAAACAGGACACTAGTTAAGAGAACGTTAATAGCTGTTTTTCCTCTCATGTAAGATCTCAGTTGTGCATCCAAGTAAAACATTTGAAGACATTTAATGTACCATACCATTGACTAGATGAAGCCCAGGAAGGGTTAATATCACAGTATTCCCCTTAAACCAACTCAAAAGACTCTAGCTACCAAAACAAGGTATGAATGAAAAATTTAAATTTTTCATCTGCAAACAGTAATCATGATTAAAAAGGATGAAATGTAAATTAATATGTGAAGACTGCTGCCAAAAACTTGGTCCACAAAAGCACAGTTGATTACAACCACATAAAAATATCACATTTTAGACAAAGAATACAAAATGGACATATAAGGAAAAAGAGACTGATAGAACAGCAAGTTTATGGGTGATTTTCTTTCTTTTTCATCTACTATTACTAAATTAACTTTCTTAAAAGATTTTAAATGCTAATGTTATGTTCAAAATGTATTTCCTTCTTTTGTATAGCTAAGGATACCAACAATAAAATGAAAAGACAACCTACAGAATGGGAGAAAATACCTGCAAATGATGTGACTGACAAGGGACTAATTTTCAAAATACACAAACAGCTCAGACACCTTAATATCAAAGAAACAAGCAATCCAATCCAAAAATGGGCAGAAGACCTAA